GGGGCTGGCTGGCATGTGGTGCTGGGGGATTGAACCGCGGTCCTTGTGCTTTGCTTAGCTTAGCTTGTTCTAAGTAGGTGCTTTAGACCACTGAGCCATCTCACCAGCCCCAAGGATAGCCTTTTTAAAAAATGGTGCTGGAAAAACTAGATACCCAAATGTAAAATAAATCTACAGACTTTGTATCTTTCACAAAATTAAGTTAAAGCTAGGTACAGTGGTACACATGTTTTTGTAATTCTAATCACTTGGAAGGCCAAGGGAGGAGGATCACAAATTTGAAGCCAGCCTAGACCACTTAACAAGACCTTCTCTCTAGAGATGTAGCTTAGCTGTACAGGGTTTACCTGGCATGTGTGAGGGTCTGGGTTGAATCCCCAGGACTTCAAAACAACAAAAAGAAGCCTCAATAATAAGGAAAAATAAAGTCATTTTTTAAATGGACAAAAGATCTGAAAAAATACCTCACTGAAGATGTCACTCTCATTAGGAAACTGTAAAAATAAAAGAATGAGATTATCTGAGTATACAGTGGCACAACAAGTATAATTCCATTACTCTGGGAGATTGAGGCAGAAGATTCAGCCCACCCTGAGCAATCTAGTGAGATTCCCGCATCCCTATATAGTTTAGTGCAAAGGTCCTGAGATCAATCCTCAGTACTAAAAGAAAAGACAACCCACTAGCTGGGGGTTGTGTAACATGCTTGTACTCCTAGCACTATGAAGTCTGAGGAAGGAGGACTGCCCTGAGTTGGAGGCCACCCTGGGTTACACAGGATAGTGAGTTTCAAGACCAGTCTGAACTATAAAATGAAACCCTATCTAAAAATAAAATTCCAGGGGTAGTGATTATACGCATATGACTGTAATTCCAGCACATAGGAAGCTGAAGCAGAAAGACTACTGTGAGTTTGAGATCAATTTGGGCTACACAGTAAATTCAAAGGCAGCCTAGATTATACACTGAGACCTTATCTCAAAAGAAAACAAACACACACACACAATCTATATCTGTACATATATCTTTATCTATCTCCATGTATCGATTACACATCTATCAGAATAGCAAAACTCCGGGCTAAGTATTTAGCTCAGTAGTAGTACACCTAATACACAAAAGGCCCACGGTCACTTGCTGCGTTACTACTTTGCTCCTTGCTGTTTTGCTGCCTTCTGCTTGCTGTGAACTATTTCTCCTGTGCCACACCACCCTGCCTTGGATCCAGCCAACTATAAACTGAAACCTCTAGAAAGGTGAGCCACAATAAACCTTTCCTCCTCTAACTTTAGGTATCAGGTATTTTGTTTCAGCAAAGACAAAATAACTAATACAAAAACTTACAGAATGTATAATGTATCAATTTTGGCTTACCAATTTTAACAAATGTACCCCAATGTAAGATATTTTTGCTTTGTTTCTAGTTCTTTGACACAAGGTCTTGCTGTATAGGCTGGGAAGGTCTTGAAATCATTATGTAATCTAGGATAGCCTTGAACTCATGATTCTCCTGCCTCAAGTCTCCCAAATGCAGTACCACAGCCAGTGGCACGATAGTACTAGCACAAACTGTGGGGACAAAAAAAGTATATACTGGAAATTTATGATCAGTTTTTTGGTTTTTTGGTTTTTTTTTTGTGGAACTGGGGATTGAACTCAGACCCTTGCACTTGCCAGGCAAGCGCTTATTCCACTGAGCTATCTCCCCGGCCCCCTATGATTAGCTTTTTAATAAATCTGAAACTGTGTCCCAAAATCAATTTTACTAATTTAAAAAGTCCCCAAGTGGACTAAAAGAATTAGCCTCACATGACTGGGGATATATATAGTTTAGCAACACAGTGTCTGCCTGGCAAGCTCAAGACCCTGAATTTAATTTAATTCCTAGTACCATGCACACAAAGAACTAGCCTCTCAAATGAGATACTACTTTACATCTACTGAATTGGTCAGAAAGAGAGAGAGAGAGAGAGAGAGAGAGAGAGAGAGAGAGAGAGAGAGAGAGAGAGCACAAGCGAGCGAGTGAAAGAAATAACAAATGTTGCTAAGAATATGGAAAAAGCAGATGTGGTGGTACATGCTTGTAATCCCAGCTACTTGGGTAGCTAATTCAGGAGGATCTCAAGTTTGATGTCAGACTTGGCAAATTCACAAGACCCTATTATCAATATAAAAAAGAAAAAAGAAAAAAAAAAAAAGGATGAGGATATAGCCCAGTGGTAGGGTACCTCTGGATTCAATCACTAGTACAAAAGAAAAAAATAGGTAAAAAAACTGAAATCCTTATATATTGCCGGTAAGAATGTAAAATGGCACTCAGTTTAGGAAAATCAGTCTAGCAATCTCTTAAAAAGAAAAAGGTAAACACAGAATTATCATATGACTCAGCAAAGCTACTCCAACAAAAATAAAAATAGGTACTCAAACACTTGTATATCTCAGTAACACTACTCACCATAACTAAAGGTGGAAATAACTTAAATGCCCATCAATAAATGAACAAAATGTACTAGGTATATAGCCACATGATGAA